TCATATGAAATGGAATCGCTGCTCAACACTGTCCAAATATACAGCCAAGATATTGCAATAGAATTTGGACTGGACAAATGTGCCACCCTTACCATCAACAGGGGAAAACAGTGAAAATTGAAGGTATCAAGATGCCCTATGGAAATAACGTCAACAGTCTGTATGAAAATCACTAGAAATACTTGGGCGTCCTTCAGGCTGACAACATCAAGCATACTGAAGGCAAGAAGAAGATTAGTAGTGCATACATCAGAAGAGTGAAGAAGATCTTAAAGTCCAAACTCAATGGTGGAAATACCATCAAGATGATTAACACCTGGTCAATTCCAATCATTAGAGAAACAGCTGGAATAATGGACTGGAATCAAGTTGAACTAAAAGCCCTGGATAGGAAACCAGAAAAATAACGTAAGTGAATCATGCCCTTCATCCACACAGTGATGTTGACAGACTCTGCTTACCAAGGAACATAGGTGGGTGTGGAATGTTGCAAGTACACCAGACAGTTAAAGAAGAAAAAGGGGCATTTGGAAGAATATCTGAAGGACAGTGAAGAAGATGCACTGAAGCTAGTACACCGTGCAGGCTTACTGAATACCAAAGAGACCAAACTGGGCTAAAAGAAAGACCTAGTGAAGAATAGAAATAAGACATGGCAAAGCGAAGTATTACATGACCAGTACACACACACACACACACACACACACACAATTAGCAGGCAAAGCTGATAACAAGAAGACCTGACAATGGCTAAGAGCAGGAAAGTTGAAGAAAGAGACAGAGGGGCTAATTCTGGCTGCTCAAGACCAAGCCTTAAGAACAAATGCATATAAAACCAGAATTGAGAAGACAGCAACAAACTGAAAATGCTGCCTCTGCAAAGAAGCTGAAGAAACAGTGGACCACCTATTTAGCTGCTGCAAGAAGATTGTACAGACTGACTACAAACAACGGCATGACAAAGTAACAGCAGTGGTACATTGGAATATCTGCAAGAAATACCATTTGCCTGCAAGCAAGAGCTGGTGGGGCCACAAAACAGACAAAGTAATCAAACATGAAGAAGCTAAAGTGCTCTGGGACTTTAGAATTCAAACAGACAAGCACCTGCCACACAATACCCCAGACTTAACAATTGTTGATAAGAAAGACAAAAATGTCTGGATAGTGGACATTGCAATACCTGGAGACAGCAGAATAGAAGAAAGAATATCACAAAATATAAAGACCTGCAAATAAGTAGAATGACTATGGCAAAAGAAAGCAAATATAGTAATAGGTGCCTTGGGTGCAATCCCAAAACATCTGGAGCACCCCTTGAAGACCATCGGCGTTGACAAAGTCACCATCAGTCGATTGCAAAAGGCAGCTTTATTGGGAACAGCTTACATCCTGTGACAATAATTTTAATACTATCAAACAACATCTGCCTATCCCAAGTCCTTGGGAAGGATTCGATAGGTGGATAAAAATGCCAAATCTAGTCTAAACATCTGGCTGAATGTGCGACCAACCATAATAAGAAAATAATAATTTATTATGCCCCTTAACCAAGGGGCAGAACTAATCAAGTAAAACAACTACAAAAATTCCATCCAGTGTATGTAATTCACAGTTTAACAGGCAACCCAATTAGATATCTATTAACAACTAAAGCAAACCCAAATACAGCCATCATACCTATTGAAAACAACATGCTACAATATGACAGATTGCATATAAAACCATAATTAATATAAAACAGATACTAACCTGGGAATGTCAACATTAATATGTTTTTATTGTCTTATTATCTTTTAGCATATATTCTTTAGCTATGATTTCTATTATTATTATTAGATTTTAACCTATATGTATGTGCATACAGCCTCCTGTTTTCCCCACAAACAACAACCCTCTGAGGTGGGTTGGTGTGAGGAGACAAACTGGCCCAATGTCACCTGGCCAGCTTTCATGACTGAGGGGGGCCTAGAACCCATCGTCTCCTGGTTTCTAGGCCAGCACGTTCACTACTACACCAGACTGGACCACATGCTCGTGGTTGTGCGTGTGCTCTCTCTCTCTTTCGAATTACAAATTATAATTCTATGTGCTTTTATTCTTTATACCTTGCGTTAACTTCTTGATTTAACCCTTTTGCGTCTGGTTCTTAAGCCTTTAGACTTGTCCTCCCCAATCTATTCTGTTCTGCAGTCACTTGCCTGGCTTCCCAACGTCTGGCTGCTGAGTTGACATTACTTAACTCAGGGTGTTTTTGAAATGCTGCAACAGCAGCTCTTCTGAGGTTTCAACATGGTTGTGGCTGGTGCCCTGGACTGTCTTCTGTAGTTGCTTCTGCTGGGCTTGCAGGGGCCTGGGCTCCCGGAAGATGTCAGTGCCTAGGCTGCTTCCCAGTGTCTGTGCAATGGAAAAATGCCCACGTATTTATGCTGCTTGCTAGTGCTCAGGACCTTTTCCCAAGTCCAGCACCTGATCTGCTCATACTCCATTCTGCTCTGTATTTGCCACTCTGCTGGCCATTTACAGGGGCTCTTCTTGCTTTCTTTCCCATCACCAGTGCTTCCAGTCTGAGTTTCTGATGTCATCTGGTTATCTTTCTTGTGAGACTTCAGGTCTTTTCTCCTTTTCTTTATTTTTCTTCTCTTTCTCTTTTCCTCTTAAATGCCATCATAGCTAATCCAGAGCCAAGCACTTTTAAAGGGCCAGGTCATCAATTCCACGGAGGCGGGGGGTGGGCCTTAAATGAGAACAGGAAAGGGAAGCTTTGGTTTTCCATTGGCTGCACATACTTACTTTCACAGCCTGCTTATATTAACTCAGCTTCTTACTTTCTAAATATGGAATGCTGTTTTTAGTACTACGAGCAGCTTTGTTACTTGTCAATTTCTTAAAGTATTGCTGGACCATATTATATTTATGCATTTTATAACGTAGTTATATTTGATTTTGTAAAAGTAATATGTGCTTTTTTTGTTTTTTGTATAGCAATTGCTAGTTTAGGACTGAAGTCTGAAACAGTTTAGCAACACGTCGTTTTATGTTTTTTGTTTAACAGGAATTGCTAATAGGTGGTTTTGGGGTTATGGGTCCAAAATAAAAAAAACTAAAAAAGCTGTTATTTGCTTTTTTACTAATTGCTTCTGAATGTTTCTTTACTTCCAAAATTCTTTGATTTCTAGCATGGAATAAATGATTAGTTTTCTTTGAAATATAGCAAAGCTTCTATGGGCAAATGGATCTACTTCTTTGGTTCTTTAGATGGCCTGCTTTTATATATTGTTCAGTTTCCTTAGTACTGGCAGTAGCGATAACTTTGTGATTTGCTTAGGTATGTTTATATAGAGCTGGGTTGAAGTTTGTGTTTTTAGTTTAAAGTGTCAGTTTTTCCTTACCACTGCTTCCTTTGGCTTTCATGACTATGATCATGAAATTTCATGAGTATCCTTTATATATTTCTTGTGAATGAGTACCATCATGTGAGTACCATAATGTGAAGTCACTTTTTTTTATTTATTAAAACAATTATATGGCCACCCAACTTGCTTTGATGACTCTGGATGGCTAACAATAAATTATAAACATAACAATAAAACCCAGAAATTTAGAAAAATAAACACCAATACAACCTTAATACAATGCAGCCAGGGTTCTCAAAATTTTCATCTCACAGTCATATAGCCTTGCAGCTGGGCTTACCTGATATTCTAACCCAATACCTGAGGGAATAGTAAAGATTTTAAAGCTTTTTGGAAGGCTAGGAGAGTTGGAGCCCTCTGAGTTTCAAGAGGTGCAGAGTTCAGTAGGGCGGGCTCTGTGACAGAGAAGACACCTCTTGTAGGTCCCACTAGATGACATTGTTTCAAGAAAAGGACCTGGAACATGCCCACCCTGTCAGTTCTGGTGGGACTGAAAATATCAGAGTTCCGTCTCTAGCATCTTCCATTCTGTCTAATCCTAGGTCTTAACAAGTGCATATTAGCATGGTTATAAACAAAACAATATTTGTGAGACACTGTTCTCTTTGTTTTGTCTATAATGATAGGAGAGGAATAAAGTGATAATTCACAAATTGATAAAAATAATCTGCAAAGTTTGAATTGCAGTATCAGCTGTAACATGGGTTTCTTTATACTTAGGATGAAAATTTAATGGATGTTCTGCAATTGCTTGTTGCTCTCATGTCTGAGCACCCCAGTTCTATGATTCCTGCCTTTGATCAGAGGAATGGATTACGGTAAGAGATAAATTCCAGTAGAAATAACAGTAATCAAACTTGAATTTTTGGTTGTCTTGTAAGATAAATGTCTTCTGTCAAACATTAATGTAGGGGTTACTTAGTTGAAAGTGTTGACCAGTTTCATACCTTTTATGAGTTCATACTCAAGAATGTAGTTTGAAACAGTAATGCTACCATATCTTTAGTTTTATATATGTATGTATGTATATGTGTAGTATGTAGTTACTGAGAAACAGAGATTTTACTTACTGAGGAAAGCCTTTCAGAGCTATAGAAAGGCTGCAAATGCCTTAATTGTTCCAAATAGGAATATATGTATTGGAAAAACAATGTAATAGGCTTGTGACATGTTACCAACTCAGCTATGACTTAGAGTACCACAAGAGTCTTTTTCTTTAGAAAATTTATTGAATATATTTTGATATACTGAATTTATGGAAGCCTTCCATAAAAATCAGTTTAAAGGCCAGAATTTTATATGGGATTTTGCTTCTTGGAGGCAATGAGAAATAACAAGTTGCCTATGAAAATAAAATGGTGTTGAAAAATTGAATCTGCATAATATTGTAGACTATTTAAATATAGTAAACCTTAAGAGCATATCACACATTGTGATTGCAAATTAATAAACTTGAAGCTATGCTAAGAACAATTAAATTCTCAAATGAATAGTAAATTTTAATGCTGTACTTAAATATGTACAAAACAAGTAGAATAAAAGTTTAGTTTTATCAACAACTTTATTACTTCAACTCCATTTGTACCCTAATATAAAGCTTTGTTCTATCTATATTTTATAGAATAATATCAACCTTCCAATAACATGAAGACAAAGTACAACTATAGAAATAAAATTATTCATATGCCTCTCTAGAGTCAGGTTATTTTTCTGGTTCCCAGATGATCTTGTTTACAAGCGGAATTGGACCATGTGGATGAATGCTCCATCTAGTTCTAAATAAAATTCTGCCTTAATTATTGCATTCGAAAGGTGCATCACCATTCCTACAAATATTCCTTCCCTTTGCACTAAGGGGTTAATATCATTGGAAAATCCACAATGTTCTATTACAAGATTTTCAAGCACTATTTTAAAATAACACAAACTAATAATCAAGAAAAAGAATAGAAAGAAAGCTAGAGGTAGAGTAGAGAGAGAAAACAAAAATATTGAAACATAGAAAAGGAAAAGAAGAAAAACAGAAATACAAAAAGAATGACTTCTGACTTCTTATACAGCACCTGTAAATGAAACATAAAATAACCTCTTGCTCTAAAACTACATCTTAGCGTACATTTTTTGCATAGGGTATTAATTTTACTAATCAAATCCATGTATCATAATTTCATTTTTTTCTTATTCCTGCAAAAAGTCCAAAAGGGACTTTCAATTAGTATTAACGTTAGTCAATGTTTTTTCAATAAGCAAAGCTATAAATTTCGCCATCTCAGCCAATTCCATCTACTTCACCATACATTCTTCCATTGTAGGTAATGTTGAATCTTTCCACCTTTGAGTGTATAAAAGTCTAGCTGTGGTTATCATATATAAAAACAAAAGTCTGTGAGCTTTTTCCAATTATTTATCCATCAGTCCCAAAAGAAATGTCTCTGATTTCAATTGTATATTAACCTTCAATAACGTCTGAGGTAATTATATGTATTTGAGTCCAAAATTTTTTAGCTTTATTACATGTCCACCAAAGATGATAGAAAGTCCATTCTTGTTCACATTTCCAACATATATTTGAAGTCCCTTTATACATTTTTGATCATCTTTCCAGTGACAAATACCATCAATACATCATTTTATAAAAATTCTCTGTCAGATTGTAACACAATGTAAATATTAACCCTTTCATCCTCATATTTTTCCATTGTTCCATTTGTATATTATATCCAACATTTTTAGCCCATTTTATCATACACTCTTTAACTTATTCATCTTCTGTTTCAAATCTCAACAAAAGCTTATACATTTTAGCAATAAGTTGTTCATTGTAAGTGCACAATTCAGTTTCAAAAACAGTTTTATTTCATTCAAAAGCATGTCTTTTTATCAACTTTAAATCTTTCTACAAGTTTCTTTCTACAATGTGAAAACCATTGACATATATATCCTTCTGATATCAAATCCTCTCTTGATTTTATTTTAAATTCTCCCTGATGAATATCAAGGATATTGGCATAAATTAACGATTTCTGCTTGGTTACCATTTCTTTCCTGTTAAATGCTTCTTGTGGAGATACCGTGAGGGTATTTTTGGACACAATCTAGATTTATATCTATTCCAAATTCTCAAAATGGCACACCTAATAAAATGGTTTTTAAAATCTACATTAACCTTAACTTTATCATACCATAAATAGCTGTGCCACACAAATCTCAATTCGTGCCCTTCCAAGTTCAGTAATCTATTTCTCAGCAACACTCATTCTTTCAACTAAACTAAACAACAAGCACCAAAATACAATTTGAGATCAGGCAAGGTTAAACCTCCTCTTTCTTTAGCATTTTGCAACACCTTATATTTAACTCACGGTTTTTTACCTTGCCAGATAAATTTAGTTATATCCTTCTGCCATTGTTTAAATGGTAAATCAGTAGTCCAATTGGTATTGTCTGAAACAAAAATAACATCTTAGACAAAACTGTTATGCAGAGTGCAGCTATAACCACAGTTCTTGCCAAAAATACACACCAGCGTTAGAGA